GTATGGCTGGAGAACATTGAGTGGGACGCGGAGGGGGTGCGGCTAGTGTGCTTCACGTGCGCTTCACGTGCTCGCTTGTTGAATTTACAAGTTCGAGGCTTGGAGCGACCAGCCTTTCGACCTTTAAGCGCTTAAAAAAAGCCCTGCATGTGAAGTGCGTGTGGTAGATGGAGCAAGTAGTACGCAAGCAAGTTGCAGCTCCAGCTTGTTCCACCTGTATTCACACGGTTTCCTGTGAGCCTTATCTTTCAAAAAGTGTTTGCCATTCTTCACCGTGCCTTCTCTTCTTTCCCTGTCTGTTCCCATTCCCCTTGTTCGTCTTTTGTTTTCCTGCTTTCGTGGTAGGTGATGCTGAGTCCAGCCATGCAAGGTGTCATCCTGGCTATTGCGAAAGCCCGCCAGACCTTTGATCGAGACGGGTCTGAAGCAGGGCTCGTGAAGGTATCCGATTTGTTTGCTAAATCCAATAGTATGGATATCTGTTTCCACAGACTGGAGAATCTATGCTATATTGACGTATCCAGACTGCGAAGGGAGCAATCTGTGCAGTTTTTCTTCTAGTTAATGGCCTTTCTGTCCCGCATTTCTGTTTCTGCTCTCTCACTGTGACAATATATCTGTGGGCTCGAACACTTTTTAGACCTTGTAAGAAAGGACTCCCTCCTCCCAGAGAAAGGAGCGCCTTTTTTTCTTTTTTTACTTCGCACTGTTTTTCCTGCTTATTCTTTTAGTATTGGCAGTTCTCTTGATCTGGATAACAAGAAGGAGGCTTTCTTTGCGTGCCTTTCAGAATCTGTTGTCTAGATCCTCGGTGTGATTGTCAGGAAATAAACCAGCGCTTGTGAAATTTTGGGTTTGGTCCTGAACACGCACGTGTCCTGTGACCTCTCTCATAAAATGTGTCCTCACGAAATCCATGCGTTGAGCAGAGGGGTTTGAAAGAAGAAGCGCTGCTGGATATCGAAGCTGGTGTTAGCTTTTACAGGCAGGTAGACTTCCCTAAAAATGCCGCATGGGAGAAGTCGCCCGTGCTATTAGTCTGCAGGAATCTAAATCACCAGCTGCTCTTGCACCTTACTACAGTTAAGAGCGTATCGCAGTCGATTTTTACAGCCTCGGCACCTGCCAGACGATGACCAAAGCTGCCCAAGGCAGCTCTCTGCCCCAAGGCGCGGAGACACCCTGGCGCTTCCGGAAAGCGCGCGCTTCACGCGCGTGGTTGGCCTCGGTGCGGGCGCCTTGCGTGCGTAGCTCCAGGGGTTCGTGGGCTGCCATTCACCCCTGGAAGGTAACCCAGCAGCGGAGGCGAGGTATCGCCCGCGGGAATCTCGTTGCCACAGGACCGGTTTAAGCATTCTATCCGCCGCCG